GAAACCAAGCAGGAGTCCATGCAGTGGAAGCACAAGGGATCGCCAACGCCTCGCAAATTTCGTGTTCAGAAATCTGCAGGAAAGATTATGGCCACTGTGTTTTGGGACGGCGAGGGACTACTGCTGCTTGAGTTCATGCCAGACGAGCGTACGATCACTGGCGATTCCTATGCTACCACCATGAAAAATTTACACGATGCCATCAAGGAAAAAAGCAGAGGAAAGTTGTCAAGGGGGGTCCTTCTCCGTGACAACGCGCCCGTCCACAAATCATGGAAAGTTGAGGCAGCAGTGAGGGAGTGTGGCTTTCAGGAGCTGAACCATCCTCCCTACAGCCCGGATCTGGCTCCTTGTGGCTATTTTCTGTTCAGACACTTGAAAAAAATTTTGCGGGGAAAAAGATTTTCATGCAATGAAGAGCTGAAAGTTGCTGTTTCTGATTGGTTTGATGGACAAGAAGTTGACTTCTATTCCCAGGGAATAAAATCCTTGGAATCAAAGTGGAAGAAGTGTGTTGAGTTAAAAGGTGACTACATTGAAAAATAAAGTGTTATTTTTCCCCTCGGATGTTTCTTTCTTATTCAGGTAGATAACTTATTGAGTGACCCTCGTATGTAGACCCAAGACCGAATACGGAAAAAAAAAGGGTTTACTTGAAAAATATTCAGCGGGAAAGCGATGAGAAATTTTCGAAAACGAAAATCTGCGAGCGCAGCGAATGCACGAACGACAGCTCTCACGGTCGCCTGCTCTGCGAGTGCCCTCCACCTGCCCTCCACCTGCCCCCCACCTGCCCCCCACCCTCTCCGACCGGGTGGAATCCTTCGTTCCCGCTTCGCCTTCATGCCTTTCAGATTGATTTTCACTAGCGACTTCGAGCCCCGTTTTTCGGTCGACCCGGTCCGACTCGTCGACGAGACGACGACGCATTCGCCGCGATCGGGCGACTGCATCCCGAGATCGACGATTCGTCCCGTCTGCGATCGCCGACGTTTCCTATCGTGCCTCGGTCGCATTTTTTTATTCTCCAATTTCTCTCCGCGGATGAGGAGAAACGAACGGGATGACGGATGAGTCGCGGATGGCGACGGACGTTGACGTCTCTCGAGAGAATTCTTAATTCCTTGGGATCAGCGACGACTCCCCCGAAATCCCTCTCTTTCAGCACGATGCAAAACGCGATCGACCCAGGCCTGCAGAGAGTCCGAAAAGAGAGACGGAAAAAAAAATGAAACAAAATGGAGGCGGCCGGCGGAAAGCGCTCGAGCGTTGCTCGGCCCATCGACCGATTAAATACATACCGATAAAATGCATTTCGCAAAAAAAAAAAAACATAATAACCGTGATGCGTCCAGATTTTTGCAGGACTCGCCGCATTCCTCCCGGAACGCCGTGTCATTCGTCTCAGTTCCGTTTCGCAACCTCCGATTTTCCACTTTCTTTTCTCGAATCGGAATCCGGCTGGAGAAAGGAATCTTCGCGGATCTTGCGAAAGCTTTCGACGGCTCGTCTCATCGAGGGCTTTCCTGCGAACCCGAGAGGATCGGCCGATAACACCCTTTCGCGGTTTAAATCTCTCAAGTCGCGAATTTAGTCCGCCATCGAGATCCCCGGGGATCCCGGTCCCGGTTCGGTGGCCCACGGGCCGACGGCCGAGGCCGTGGGCCACCGAACCGGGACCGGTACCGAAAAGGGACTGGTACCGAATCGGCCGGGTCCAGCTTTATTTTTTTCGTCCGTTATGTCGGCGGCTCTTCCCACGACTTGAAAAAATATTTGCTCTCGCTCGTCTTCTTCGATGACTATATTTCCATCCACGCTCTCGTGCTCCAGGATCTCGTCGAAATGCAGTCGTAACACTCGCACTGTTCTCGTAGCGTGAATGCCCTTTTTTTCATCGCTGGCCGCCTTGTATTCGGCATGGGTTCCGCGTTGCTTCTTCGCGCTTCAAAGGAAAAATATGCTGAAAACTCTTCTCCGCCGTTTATTTTTATAAATGTTGACATAATGTGAATAATAATATTAAAAAAAACTCTCTTTGGCTTTCTCTCGTCTTGTACGTGAGCCCCACGATTTTGTCTGTTTTGGGAGTTTTTGTGTGCGTGAGTGAATTTTTGGCAATGCCGTATGACATGTTCCATGTTGCCAGGGCAAACTAGAAGAGCCATGGCCTTAGAACAGTCATGGATTAAATACTCTTCTCTATTATTACTCGTATAACTGCTAGGGGAGGATAAAAGGGCAAGTTGGACTAGTTTAATTTCAGGTCCCTTTCCTCTCACCCAAGGTTTATTTGAGTCTGTCGATACGACACAGAGCGCCCTTTGAGGGGTGGCGGGGTTGCTAGAAGGACCGATCGGGGGTTGCCGAGCGACGGACCAAGCGGGAGGGGGAGCTCAGCGCTTCTTAATACGGATCAGCTCGCCACTCCCAAAGATACATCCCTTCCTCCTTCGTGCGTAATCTCTAAAAGGAAACAAGGATTTCATGAACTTGTTAGAATGCAAGGGAAGAATTGCCTCTCCTTATCTGCCGAGGGGACGTCCACGTATGGCAGTTATGACGGTTACGGAGAGATACGACAGTGTTTGCGACAAGTAATAAATACGGATGAAGCTTGTACCAAGGCCACCCGCCCGAGAGTTGTCCATGTGGCAGCCACCATGTGACGCGAATGAGAATCAGAATAAGTTAGCGATTGGTGGATCCACGTGGGCTCGTCCCCGCCCCGACCGGCTTCCTCGTCCTTGTCCTTCGTCCTTCCCTTACCAGGCCCTTTTTCTCTCTTCTGCGTGGTTCCGGCGCTTCCTCTCCCATTTCTCGGCCTTTTTGCGCTGGTTTTCACCTTTTCCCACTTGTAGATCTGTTCAATTGTCACCTTTCGATAGTGAACAATGGCTGGAAATCCACCGATGCCTCCTGGTCCTGGAAAGAAGCAACCCTACAAAGTCGGTAGGTCCAGGCCTTTCAAGGCCCTGCATAAGGTTCCGAGGCAGGGCACACCTAGGAGTCCACTGTCTCTTGTAGGTTGCAGCAGGCATATCATGACTAAGACCTGGGCCTATGGATATAAGAGTATCTTTGGCCTGGCCCATGGCGCCGCATTGAAAGTATGCCCTGGCATATTTTCAAAGTTCCCAGTTTTCAAGCTGGCTTTGACGCTATTGCTTTCCACAATGCTAGCATAGGCCTATGATTAGAACGAGTTTGTGCAAAGAATAACCCACATTTACCCTGAAATGATGTACACTCACTGTCTTACAGCCTCTTGAAGAAGGGGAACCATGGGCTCAATAGTCTCCTTAATGACTCATGGAGAAATAAGAAACCTATCATAGGAGAAGCAGATTGCAAACATTTAGTTTTTATATTTGTATGATGAAAGCATGGGAAGGAAATTTTATTCCTGCCGTATTTACCTTTCATCCTAAAAAATATTGTCTAATTGAAAAGTTTCTCATTCCTGAACTGAAACTTTTTTTGCTTCAGAAAACAACTCTTCAGTGCGTGTGTAACATGCATTTTATTGAACCTTGCTGCAACAGCCTAAATGCACTCATGTAATTAAGATACATAGAATGATGTGGTAATCTGGACTCTGATATCAGTGTCAATGTCTTTTTTCTTATATGGACACTCTGAGTTGAGATCAAACAGTCATCCTACTAACACTGTTTTAGATGGGCTTACTAACACTAACTGATATATGATTTTGCCAAGAGCTTTTCTGGATATGTTAGTTGTTCTCTTCTTACAAAGAACTGCTTTACTCCTTTTTTGTTTTGTCCATGAAGGCATCTACTCATTGCACCTCCTATGAAAAATCATTCTATTATCTCATGTCATTCCATTGCAGTCATGATCCACAAAACTCTAGGGCTCTCCTGAACTTGCAAAACTGTGGGGATTGAAGGACACTAGAATGTAGCCTAGCATGCTCAGCATAATCTTGTAATCCCACCATTTTTTAGGAGCAGGGAAACTTTACCCTCTTTTCAGTAATCAAATGAAATTGGCTGCCCTTTGCTGCAGGTATTTGTTGTTAGGAGAACACCATCATTTATGATGAATTTGCCATGCTCTATGAAATAAAGTGGGTCAGCTCTGTTAAAATTAACATGACAAGTTTTACTTTCAATTTCCAACAAGTGTAACCAGAGTTATTCATTCCTCAAGCATATTTTTCTTGATTTTATGTCTACATTGATTAATGGCACTGCATCCTCAATAACTGCTTGTGAAGTCCATATTACATACAAAGTGTGAGGTTTTTCTTAGCCTTTATGATTCAGTACTCAGGTAAACTATGGCTTCTCCTGTATCCATGCCCTCTCAGCTATTGCATATGCAAGTTCAGGAATGGGATAACAGTTCTTTTGTTTATATAATGAAGGCTTGTATTTGCAAGTTAATCCTTTTGTGTTTAGCAAACAGCATTAGTTTTAATGGATTGATAAGAATATAGTTTGATCCATATGCTTTGTATTTTCAGCTGATATCAGTCTGGCAGAATGGGGAAGGAAGGAAATCATCATGGCCGAGAACGAAATGCCAGGGTTGATGTCATTGAGGAAAAAGTATGGTCCATCAAAGCCCTTGAAAGGAACAAGGATTGCAGGGTGTCTTCACATGACCATCCAGACTGCTGTCCTCATTGAAACTCTCCTAGAATTAGGAGCTGAGGTAAGTTTGTTTATTCATTTCTTTCTCTAAGCTTGTACTATTGCCAACTGTTCCCTATCTGGGTCTAAAACATCGGTGGTTACCTAGAACTCATGGGTGAGGACCAGGTTGGGTAATGGTGGCCTGGTGATGACCTGCATAGCTTTTGCAAGTTACTGTCTTGGTTGGGATTTGTCCCATACAAATACATTTTTTATGAATGAAAGAAGAAAAAAAGCTCATACAGTAAGATACATAAAATCAACTTTTACAAAGGTATACTTCTATCCTTCTGGTGTGGCTATTCTTCAAAGCCTTTTCTAGTCTTCCTCCCCCTTTTCAGTCTCCCCTTTTCAAGGAAATCAAATGGGAAAGACTAACTCTTCTCAACTGTCAAGGCCATGTTCTTCATGAATTGAACTTACCATTGGTGAAAAGCAAGTAGTATTTTGATGCCTCTGCTATTTTGACTCCATAGGTCATATCATCTTTCCCAATGATGAACTCCATTTCAGATTTATCATTGATCATGGAAAGCATTAAAAAATTTAGTCAGTGTTACTTTTCCAGTTTTTTTTTTTTTTGGAACAAAAAATATGAGAGGTCCCTCAGCCAGGAGTTCAATATAGCTTTTTTTGCATAATTAATTCAGTAGATAAAATATTTAAAAGAAACTGGCAATAAATGATCTGAAATGGGCTACAAAGATTCATTGCTTGATGCCACTTCAATAGTCTGACATGAACTTCATGTAGCAGTATGCCTTTAGATTTGCTAATTGTTTAAAGGCAAGATCTCCAAAGGTTTCATTCTCTGTCTTTTTTTCTTTTTTTTTTTAACAGGTTCAGTGGTCAAGCTGCAACATTTTCAGCACTCAAGATCATGCAGCAGCAGCCATTGCCAAACAAGGAGTGCCAGTATATGCATGGAAGGGTGAAACCGAAGAGGAATATATCTGGTGCATTGAACAGACTCTCATCTTCAATGATGGCCAGGTCATTCTCTTTGTTTAATGCCTTGGCATCTACTGCTGGATCAGTGCCTCATTACTCTGACTATTGATCTGGAGGATATGGATATCACATAAAGGATAGGGTTGCTAATCAACCTCAAATCCACTGGATATATTAAATGTGACATCAGAATGCAAGGATGAATGAGTGCAAGCTGGCGCTTGGAAAGTCTTGTTTTTGGAACTTTAAGCAAACCAGCCTCCAACTTAAAATTCCATTCTCATGTTAACCTACTGCTTTATATTATATTAATTTTTTTTAGATCTCAGTTTCAAATTTAGTTTGGAATTTGATTTAGGATTTAGTGAAATTTATAATTGAATGATTTTTTTAAAGTTATTTGATGTGAGAAGAACTTCAGTTTTTATTTTGGAGTGAGGAGGTTTGAATTGGAATATGCTTGTCATTGATTTACTTTAATGCCTCTCTCAGAAGTAGGTAAAAAGAAAACAGTTCATCTTTGAGTTGTAATTGTATCAAGGCTCTTGATGAATGTAATCTTGTTGCAGCCATTGAATATGATCTTGGATGATGGAGGGGATCTGACAAATCTTGCTCATACCAAATACCCTCATCTGTTGGATGGGGTGAAGGGGATCTCGGAGGAAACCACTACTGGGGTCAAGAATCTTTACAAACTCTTGAAAGCAGGCTCCCTTCGTGTGCCTGCCATCAATGTCAATGATTCAGTCACTAAGGTTCGTCCTACACTCGAGGATTGTTCTTCATTGCCTTCTTGTGTGCTCAGTTATGGCACTCAGATTTCTGTCCAGTGTTCCATCTTAAATATGGTGGACCTGCTAGATACTTTTCTAAATACTCAGCCATGGTGTTCTGTTTTGCTCTGATGACAATCCTATCTGCCAATTCATTTCTCACTACTATGTTCCTTTCAACATTGTGGTAATACACTAAAGAATATAATTATAGTTTTGGTCACTTAAGGATGTCTAGCATTCTGTGTTTCTGGGCCATATGTTATATTTATTTTTAAAATGTTTGTTGTAACCCCATCATAATGGTGGGGATGTTGGCAGGCAAAATTAAGACTAGATTTTTTAAATGATGCTCTCAATGCAAAAGTAGTCTCTGCTGAGATTTCAGTATTCCAAGGAAAATGCATTCAAACTTTAGCAATGTGTAGCAAGAATCTTGCATTTTCTGTTCTATTCTGACAGGGAATTTAATTGTTTTAGGCTTTTCCAGACACAACTGTATTCTGACCACTTAGTTTGGGTTTTTACAACCATATTTGAGGTATGATAGAGTTGGGTTTTTTTTTCAGCTCAGTTTTGCTGCAGGGAGTTTAGCAGTTTTTCAAGACTTTTAGCATGCGATCATATGCATCATATTCAGAATCTAGTAAATTTAATTATAAATGCATTTTTAGCTGAGCAATTTATAGATCTTGTGAAGCCACTCTATCCTCAAGAAAGACCTATTGAGAGTCTATTTATTCATTCCAGAGCAAGTTTGACAACTTATATGGATGCCGTGAATCCCTGTTGGATGGGATTAAACGTGCCACAGATGTGATGATGGCAGGCAAGGTGTGTTGTGTGGCTGGCTTTGGTGATGTTGGAAAGGGATCTGCCCAGAGCATGCGTGCCTTTGGCGCTCGTGTCCTTATCACTGAAATTGATCCCATCAATGCCCTTCAGGCTGCTATGGAGGGATATGAGGTATGAATGTAAAGATAAAAAATGCTGGCACCATTGTGTTACTTCTTGACACTTGGTTATTGTGGGTTGGTTTTTTCATTAGGTGACAACCATGGAAGAAGCAGCTGCAAGGGCACAGATCTTTGTTACAGCCACAGGATGTACAGACATCATCAGGGGAGAGCACTTCATGAAGATGCGAGATGATTCCATCGTCTGCAACATAGGGCACTTTGATGATGAATTAGATGTGAAATGGCTGAATGAGAATGCCAAAGAGGTGGTGAACATCAAGCCACAAGTGGACCGATACACATTGTCCAATGGGAATCACATCATCCTACTGGCCGAGGGGCGATTGGTGAATCTGGGTTGTGCTACCGGTCATCCATCCTTTGTCATGAGCAACTCCTTTTCCAATCAAGTCTTGGCTCAGATTGAACTCTGGACAAAACAGAGCGAGTATTCTGTGGGGGTTTATATTCTTCCCAAGAAGGTGGGTTTATAGTTATTCCTTAACTCAGTAGCATGTCCTGAAAATCCCAATTGGGGGGGGGGGGAGTTGACATGTGAAAAATTGGCAATCTACTCTGCATATATGGGCAAAAAAATTTTTTGAGATTCAAACCAGTAAAATGCATCCCAGGAGGGGGTGTTATGACCCCCAAAACCCCCTCCCTGGGCATGCCATTGCCTTGACTTCTTTGGTGTTCAATGTTCACTGTTTCAAGTGGCATATCATGGTTCTTCTTGCTAATTGAAGTAGATTTATTCATAACAGCTGATGGCATAAAATATAAATGTGAAAGTGGCATTTAAGTAATGGGGAAATGGAACATAATTGGGGAATGCAACAAAGCATGAATATTAGCATTATCTTGAATAATACTTGATAATGACATATCTAGTCTGCTAAGGAATCTTTATAATGTGGCTATTGTGTTTGTCTCTCAGCTCGATGAGGAAGTGGCAGCATTACACCTGGAGCATCTTGGTGTGAAATTGACCAAGCTTACCCCGGCTCAGGCCAAGTATCTTGGTGTTCCAATTGAAGGTCCTTACAAGCCTGAGCACTACAGATATTGAAGTCATCACTCTCATGATGTTGCACACCCACATGCACTTGTGAACCGGAAAAGGAAAAATAAATGCCACCTATTGATTGGGTTTGAGAATTCCACCGCATCAGAGACTTGAATTTCATTTTCTTTGTTTGTGATGGTCACTGCTTGAAAAATCTGTGTGGGGATCATAATGAAAAGGTGTCTCCTTCAGGAATTCAATGGATTAGGTCCCTCTTACATGCCAAGTTCAAATTTGTGAAATACCCCTGACATCAAGCAGGAGATACTAGAGCAGATCTCACTAGATCCTGTGTTACTTGTCTTTTTTTTTTAACGAGTTCTCTCCCCCTCTATGGGGAGTGGCATTAGGAATACTTTGGTGGTGGAGGCGGTAGTTCAAAAGAGGAAATGTCCCTGAAGTTTGGAGGGGAGATAGACCTGGGTGAGGTAATCGCGGGAAATCTCATCCAGGGACTCCAGTTCCACCTTCATCCCCATCTTCCACATCCTCTCCAGCTGCAATTGTTGAGAACAGCAATCTGATGAGAATCATTCACTGGTAGACTGTCCTTTGAGAAAGGGGGCAGAAAATAAGTTCCCTTTCCTCGTCTAATTAAGAGCTTTTTACGGCGTGCACTTGATTTCTCTCGGAAACAGATTCACATCTTCACTCATAGATAATGCACCGAGTTGACTGTATCAGACGGGTTTGCCATTTAATCGGTAGCAGCCTTGCACGAATCCTTTCCCAATCGAGAGCAGGAGGTAGGATTCTACGTCCTGCTAAATTGTTGCTGGCAGTATTCTGGTTCTCTCAATCTCTTGATTGGGAAAGGATTCGTGTAAGGGCACCAATAATTACCATTACCAGAATTACCAGGCGAATCTGGATATTTGGCAACAAGTAAATTGGTCAATTAGGACATTATGAGGCAAGTCATCGAGGTAAGAATCATCCTGAATCATTCCTCGGTGCTCAAGCACGATTTCCGTTTCCAAAACGTCAAGGCGGAACCACTGAGGATTGAATTTTTGAATTCTTGATTCAGCTCAGGAGCGTGCATTATTATTGTGCGCTCTTCGCGTAACATTTACCATTGCTGTCCATTATATTGAACGTTCGTTAGATGATATGCGTGAAAATGTGAATGAGGTCGCTCTTCCTCCGACAACTAGTGCGCGCTGAATGAAGCTCTCAAATGAACAGGGACCGAGTCGAAGTAAGCTAGCTTTTAAAACTTGTACTTCGTAGGAGGCTGAAGGGCTCTGCTGGTTAGAATGCTAACGATCACGGTCGAAGGGAAGAGAAACGCAAGAGTTGAGGCATGCCGATCTCCAAGTGGAAACCACTTTCATAGCATTCTTGCAATTAGAGTGGAAGTTCGAATTTTTTATTTTTACGACTACAGAAGCGAAAAATCGATCCCTGAAAGGATGCACATCGCTGCCGTCACCGCACACTCCTGTGAAATGCATTAATGTTATACGTCTCTGCGTGCGCGATGGCTTGAAATGGTCGGTGACTGTCTCTGGCCTTTAGTCACCGTGTCACCCGCCCTCCCATTGACTCCCCGAACCCTTCGTCAGACAATGAAGATAATCATATATAACAACTCCAAGTGGGCATAATCTGTTGAAATGCTTGCAATTTCATGTAATTTGAGTTCGTTCTCCTTGAGCAAAATGGTTGGAGATATTCTTTCAGCTGAGACAAAATACTGCCATAAAAGTGATTCACGTGGCATGCTTTTCTGATTTTTTTTCTGTTTATGCGCTACTACTGGAAATAAATTATTGTAAAATGATGTAATCTATTGCAAGATGAATTTTATCTCATTTTTTATTCGCTTTTTTCGCAAGAAAAGTGTCGAAATAAAACCAAAATGATTCAAATTGTGCCTCAACTCATCGTAAAAGTGAAGGACCGTTTTAAATGACAGATTCCAAGACAGAACCCCTAGATTCCAGAGTAACTTGCCACGAACAGAAGCTGAATCGGGGAAAACGCTGACCTCGCAGTGGACATCCGCCTGCTGCCGGATATACGGCCGGGAGAGAAGCTGCTCCAGCTTCTCCCTGTCCTTTGTTGTAAGCGGGAGAAAAGTGGTCGACGGGAGGTGATACTCGTGGACGTCCCCGCTTCGGATCCCCAGCCACTCCAGGGATGGCACCGTGGACTCCCGCGCCTCGTGAGCCAGGCTCTAGAGACGGAAACGAGATCTTTCTCTCGTCTCGTGAGGGTGGTCGTAATGAACGGTGGACGAACCAGGCCTTACCATGGATCCGTATTTGTAGGTGCACATGATTTCGATGCCGTGAGGATCCCCATCCATGAGGGCAAAGGCAGGAATTTCTAGGTCCGCGACCAGCCGTCGAAGGAACTTCCTCGTCCCCATGTCTGGAAATCCCTTCCCCTTAAAAAAAAAAGAAGAAAGAAATAGTTTTTTTCTGATTAGCAAATTTTCGTGAGGTAGTGAGATTAATATCGACTCACAGTGATAAGGATGTGAGAGAACGGAAGGCCGTGAGTGAAGATGTTTTGAAAGGAGGCATGCTTCTCCACGACGAGAACGAAAGAGGGCCGAGGTTGAGGGAGAACTACGTCAATTGCATTCGTTAGGGCTGGAATCTGCATTTCTCTTCCATTTCCCGATTCTCCCTTCAGGATGAAGTCTCCCGTCGCTAGTCCTGCAATGCAAATCCTTCATTACTCTCTGAATATTGATTTTCTCAAACGTGAACAGCACCGGTAATTTCCTTCCTCGTGGTGTCGACTATACAGCCAGGCTCTTATGAACTTAAGGAACCACGACGCATGAACCCAGTCACAAACTCATAATGAAATAGGAAAAGTAAATTTTATCTTTTATATTAGAGTGCAAATTTCAGGAAAACCAGCATCGGGACGTTTTTTCATCTTACAGAGCGGAAGCAATAAAGTATAAATAACGGACACCAGACAGCAACTGACCTTTCGAAGTGGCGATGATGTTGAGGTCATCCCGAGAGCATCGGAGGAGAACGGCGAGGTCATCCACCAGCACATCCACCGTCCTCTGGTTCCCATACAATCCCGGGTTCTGGTAATACAAATCCCTTCGGAGAACGAAACGATCCCCCTTTTTTTTTTACCTCCAGGGCACAGAATTAAAGTCACCATTAAAGGATACCTTCTCACCTTTTTGTCACGGTCGTACCAGTGAGAAGAAGCTGGTGAGCACGGGAGAGGAGATCGATGAGCAAACAGAATTTCCGGAAGCTTCTTCTGCTATTCATATTCACCTGCACCTTTCTGGCCTCGGAACTCCTTTCCAAGCCCCTTTCCAAAAAAAAAAACAGAGCAGACCGTCAACCTAATCTGAACATGGACTGAAACGTGAAATCTTGAAACGCTCTTCCCTCATGATGACGGTCTCACTATTCAGTACTAGAAATTACAGTAATAGTCCACCTAGTAAGTGAGCTCTGATTTTTGCGTGTTTATGTCTAATTTCTCGTGTGGAACATTGAAGATGTTCGAAACTTCATGGTGATTTGTATGATATATGAGTGCAGGTTCAGCTAATAGCTTGGAACCTACTTGCTGAGATATAGGGTGGATTTTTGAACAGAGAACCATCCGATAATGCAGCTTTATTCCAGAGAAAATACATGATATTTCCTGGAAATAAAGCAGCATTATCGGAGAGTTCTCTGTTCAAAAATCCACCAATAAAATTGAAACATTTTGCCATGGAAAAATAACATGAGAGAACAACTACCCGCATTTTCCTCGCTGCACTCATTTTGTACGGATTGCCCAAAAGAAATCCATGAAAACGGTCGTTACGGCGTTGCATTCGTTACGTTATGGAGTTTTTTTTTCCAATGTCGTTACGTGCGGCACCTACTCTAATTAATTTCAAAGGGATTAGTTCCTCACTTGACGTTAGGACAGATTCACACTTGAAGTGGTGGTCTGCGAAGATATAGAAATTTATCAACATAGCTGTACAGAAATATAACCCTTTACCGAACGTGCTAAATCGTGTCGATCCGGCAAGTTCTCTGAAGAATCGTTGGGAGTGAACACAAGTGTCGCACAGAAGAATGGAAGTGAAATACATTTCTTTCTCACTCCATCTGACTGTTCGGCATGATGGGGAGAGGGGGGGGGGGTGACGTCATAATGGCAATGTTAACTTCAAAGAAACCCAAGTTTTGTGTTTACGCTGTTTCTCAATAAAACAGAACGTCGAGATAATGGAATTCTACGTAGATGAAGCAGTGCCGATGCAAAGGACTCCTTGCTCTCACCGTGATTTCCTGTCTTTCCGATCTCCAACTTTTTATTATCAGCTGTGTGAAATCTTTCAGGAAGGCAAAAAATAAGGTTATCACGTGATCGCGATAATGAACACGACTCCCAAACAAGACCTCCAACGCATATTTTCTCTTCTCAAGCCAGAAAAAAAAAACCTTTCTTCCGCTCAGGAGTCAGGAGAGTTAGTGATATCAAGAGGCGATTTCGCCCATTTCGATATCACGTGT